TAATATTTCTGTTCCTAATTTTTCTATACCCTGTAAACCTTGTTTTTAGTGGCTTTATTGCCTTGTATGGTGTGATACCGATTTAAAAAAATTCTAATTCTCCTTAAGCGCTTTTTCAGTCTATTATTATTATTATTATTACTATTATTATTATTATTTTCTTTGATTTCTGGCGTTTACACATTTCTTTCCGGTTCCCGCCCAGGGACCTAAGGTTAGAAATGGCATCATGACACTTTCCACTGACAACAAAAAAAAAAGAAAAAAGAAAATTACATAAATAAAGCGCTTCGTAAAGTGTGGGCTGTACTTGTTAGAACATTTTTTTGTATCTCCTTGAGGCATGGACTTCCAGGAATCCCTTCAATTAGTCTACTGCAATCTTTTCCAACCAGTCCTAGGGCTCCAACTACAACAGGGATTGTTGATGTTCCCATATGCCACATTTTGTAGATTTCTATTTCAAGGTCCTTGTATTTTGACAGCTTTTTGAATATCTTCAAAGATACATCGCTGTCAGCAGGGACTGCCATATCAACAAGGAGGCATCGTTTTTGTTTGTGGTCTTTAATAACAATATCTGGGCGGTTGGCTTTGATTGTTCTGTCAGTGTGTATTGTGTAGTCCCATAGAATTGTAACAGGTCCTATCTCCGTAACCGAGTCTGGGTGGTGGTCATACCAGTTTCTTTCAGTTTCCTTTCCGTAGAAGTTGCAGATTTTCCAATTATTATTATTATTATTATTATCCTATGTGCTTGTTCCTCCATTCGTTAGTTCGCGTCACCGTTACGCCTTGCCAATAACTAAAAAATAATGAATTATTCCATTTTGATCACGTGGAAAGAGAGGAAAAGACGCTACTTGGTTTCAGTTGGAAAATGAAAAACAGAAAAAAGAAAGAAAGAACAAAAGAAGGAAAGATAGAAGTGTTTAAAGTCTCATGCGAATATCTCAAATAATGGACTATTCCGTCTTGATCATGTGGAAAGAGTGGGAAAAGACGCTACTTGGTTTCAGTGAGAAAATGAAAGACAGCTGTCAGTTTCAAATCTCTTCATTTGTACCCCTTTACTTCTTAAAATAAAGACCAGTATTCACAGACTGATATTACAATATTTTGTTAAAGTTGTTCAGCTCAATTATTTAACAAAGCGATAAAGACATTTCTACGGTAAATTTATTGTCGTAGAACTCATCATTAAGCAATCCTTAACATAAGAATTAAGATTCATCAGAATATTTAAACAGAACCGTGAAACTTTTACATGTTATTATTAATATTATTATTTATATCTTTATGTGTCACTCTCAGGTTGTTCATTTCGATCGTTTGCGCTGTACATATCTACCTATCTATCTATCCCAGTTTTTATCTATCTATCTATCTATATATATATATATATATATATATATATATATATATATATATATATATATATATCAGTCAGTTAACTTCTATCTATGTATTTATCTCAGTCTCTTCATATTTATCTATCCCAATCTTTGTACACACACACACACACACATATATATATATATATATATATATATATATATATATATATATATATATATATATATATATATATATATATATCAGTCTGTTAACTTCTATCTATCTATCTATCTATCTATCTATCCCTTTCTTTCTTTCTTCTTTCTTTCTATCTATCTATCTCAGGCCCTATCCGTCTGTCTTGCTAGCTAGCTCCGGCCTTTTTAATTTGGAATTTCGTGCCGAACCCTTTAGTCCATATACATAGATTGTTCTTATTCCACGTACCATGTCTTTAGATATCTCAGTTTTCGTTCATTCGTCTTGATAACTCTCCAAGTTTATCTTCTCTCCGCTGAGGCTAGGAATTGAACTTTGAACAATTTAGCTCAAATCACTTTTTCGGTCAATCAACTCAAGCTTTTATATATTTGGGCCATGTGACTTTGATCTACTTTTTTTCTTTTCTCAAAATACCTTTTTTTAAAACAATAGTACCTGCAGAGGGAGTATTGCTTTTTTTTTTTTTTTATGTCCCGTATTTTCTTTTCATGTGTGACCGTCAAACACCTGCCCTCCGCATTTTCAGCGTTTAGTTCTTTTTCCCCACCCTCAGCTTTTCTTCTTTTTCTCAGTTCCACTTTTCTAATTCCTGCCCCGATCTGTTTAATCTTCCCAACTTTCTTTTTCCTCACTTCTTGCCAACTTCCTTTTTGTCAAACTCACTTTTTCTCTTTCTTCATCAAAATTTTTTTATCTTTTCCCTTTCTCAAGCCTCTTCGACGGAAGTAGGGCCGATAGACAACAGAACACCGGATGGCACAACGTCCGAAACTTAGTAATAGTAACAACAAAAAAGATATTTTACTGTAACTAATTACTATGCAAGTATTCTAAGTTCAAATTTTACTGCTATTACTCTGTGGATTGAGCTTACTATTAATCGATTTTAACTATAGGTTTAGTCTTCGTCTAGTTATAAAGCGTCCAGTGAAGTTCGAACTTGGTATATTTTGTAAATTGGTCTGTAGGTCAAGCCGGGTAATTCTAGTCTTGATGTGCAGCTAGTGTGTGTAAATTTATTAGGTCAAAAATAAATTTCTACTGCATTTGAAGATGGAAAAGGAATAAATGCTTCTTTGGTCTTAACTCCTGTAATTCATCAAAAGATGATATTTTCCTTTATTATCCCATCCATCCGGCAAATTGTTGATCCGTCGGACGTAAAATTATTCGGGTTTTCATGCAGAGAGATGCTCAATATTAATTTTGACCTACACACATTTAATATAAATTATTTCCCCTCTAAAAATGATTCAATGATTCGGAAAATGATAGTCAGATGGAGCAAAATGAGGAGAGTAAGGAGGATGAGGCAAAACTTCCGTATTTAGTGCTATATTATTTTCCTCAATGACTCGAGCGATATTCGGTTTTGTATTATCGTGTAAACGTACCTTTACGATTAGCCAATGCTGGCTGACAAAGAAAAGAATACTGAACAGTTACGTGGCATCTGTTCTTCTTTACGGCAGCGAATGTACGACGATTTCCTCAAAGATGAAAAAGAGACTCGAGGCGACAGAGATGTGGTTCTACAGAAGGATGCTAAGGATATCATGGACCGAACGTGTGAGCAACGATGAGATCTTAAAGAGGTTGCAAACAAGGAGGAGGCTTTTACTTAACATCAGGAAGAGGCAGCTGAAGTTTCTGGGACACATAATGAGGAAGGAGGGCCTGGAGAATCTGATACTCACGGGTCGAATAGAGGGAAAGAGAGACAAGGGAAAGCAGCGCGTGACATACCTGATGAGCTTGAGCAGGTGAATGACTGAATGTGGTCTGGGGGAGGAAGAAGAGGGAAGCAACTTGCTGAGAGCTGCAAGGGATAGAGGGAGGTGGAGAGCCATGATCGTCTACGTCCTGAAAGGACATGGCACATAAAAAAAAAGAATGATGGGTGTTTGTTTTTTTCTGTAAACTTTTGTGCAATTCTTTTTGAAAACACTCTGCGTCAACTGTTTCGTTTTGGTTTACACAATAGATGACACACTTCCTATCCCAGCAAACACAGCACATAACTGCTTTCGGGTAAGGTCCTGGCTTGGGGATGGATTCTCCTTTGTTTGCTTTCAGTAACTGCATACCATTGTTAGTTTCTTTGGATATGATTACAGAGAAACCAATTTTCATGAGTGTTAATGGTTCAACCCTAGTCTTCAATGACGGACGGAAGGAAGCTTTTTGATTAATCTGACAAGCCGTCACATGATGAGGGACCCATTATCCAAGTTTAGAAACTCCTCTGAGTTCATGAAGATGTTTTATGATCGGCTTGTGAATTGTATTGATCTGCTTTGCTAATTCTCGTGTTGGTACTTTGAAATTTTCCTCAACAGCTACTTGCAGAAACTCAGTATTTGCCCAACTTGAATGTCCAGACCGAGGTGGGAGAGCTTCGCGTGAGTAAGTCCCCAGTCATAACTGGCTAACGTGGGTGTGTCAGGGTGTTTAAAGGTTTATTTCCACAGTCAGAAGGAATATCATTAGTTTCTGCCATTATGCACGAACTCTCTTTGAAATCTTGCAGTATACACTACCCGATATAAGTCTGATCTAAACCAATTTTAGAAGGGTAAAACCGATTAAAAAATGTTACCCATCCTGGTATTAAGTAATATTCAAATAAAGAAAAAAGCATTAGAACATAAAGCGCAATGGTTTTTTACCGCAAGTATTGAAAACGTATGCTTAAAGTGATAATTTTAAAATTGGTCTTCCTTTACAATTTTACATATATATATATATATATATATATATATATATATATATATATATATATATATATATATACCGCACCACGGTCCTGGTTGACCGCACAAAGGTGAAGACATTAGAACTCCTCCGACTAAACAGACACACAATTTCGAATACACATTACCATCCGATGCCCACTTAGTCATACAAGAATCTTTACAAACATAAATACATATAGAATTATCTACGGTTTTAATGCACGTGATACGTAACTGACCAATGAGAACTGACCCAAACAATACTGAAAAATACCAACGTTCTGTCTTTTTGTCCGTACTTTCTCAATCTCTGACAAAGCTTTAATGACAGTGAAACATGTTAGATTGATATACGTTTAATATTTGTTCTTTCATCTTATCATCTTATTGGATTCCAATCCATATATGTGATCTGCATTTGATCTTTAACTCTATCTTTCTATTCTTTAGAAAAACTGGCAATCTCCTAATATTTTGTGTAAACCAACAGAATAGACAGTACACCTATTTATGATAGATGAGTTCTAATAAATATCTAATATCATAGTTTAATGTTTAGTAAACTAGGAACACTAGATCATTCCTACCACTACTGTGTTCAACGTTCAGAAGGTTCTCAGCTTCTGTGAGCTTGAGCCAGACAAATATGTTAAATTAACAATCTCTCGTTCATATTTTCAAATAACTTCTTTTCATTTTCTTTGTTTTTAACCTTTATTTTGGTTATATTTTTGACTCTCTCTTTCTACAAATTTATTTTGCCCTTCTTTCAGACATCGATCTTTTCTTCGTTTCACTTTTATATTCTTTGTATGTCTCTCTATCTCTCTCTCTCTCTCTCTCTCTCTCTCTCTCTCTCTCTCTCTCTAAAAATTTAGTTATACCTTCTTTCATAAATCTTTCTTTTCTTTGTCTTTCTTTCTCTTTTTATATTCTTTGTATCTCTCTTTCAACATATTTAGTTACCCTTTCTTTCAAACATCTTTCTTTTCTTCGTCTCTCTTCTCTCTTTTATATTCTTTTGTATCTCTCTTTCAACAAATTTTGTTACCCTTCTTTCAAACATCTTTCTTTTCTTCGTCTCTCTTTTTTATTTTTTGTATATTCTTTGTATCTCTCTTTCAAACAAATTTTGTTACCCTTCTTTCTCTTTTTAACATCTTTTTTTTTGTTGCTTCGTCTCTTTCTTTTCTTCGTCTTATATTCTTTTATATTCTTTCTCTCTTTCAACAAATTTTGTTACCCCTTCTTTCAAACATCTTTCTTTTTCTTCGTCTCTCTTTCTCTTTTATATTCTTTGTATCTCTCTTTCAACAAATTTTGTTACCTTCTTTCAAACATCTTTCTTTTCTTTCGTCTCCTTTCTCTTTTATATTCTTTGTATCTCTTTTTCTCCCTTTCTCTTTTTATTTACCTTTTCTTTCAAACATCTTTCTTTTTCTTCGTCTCCTTTCTCTTTTATATTCTTTTGTATCTCTCTTTCAACAAATTTAGTTACCCCTTCTTTCTTTTTCTTTTCTTCGTCATCTTTCTTTTTTTTCTTTTTGTCTCTCTTTCTCTTTTTATATTCTTTTTTCTTCGTCTCTTTCTTTTTATATTCTTTGTATCTCTCTTTCAACAAATTTTTTTACCCCTTCTTTCAAACATCTTTCTTTTCTTCGTCTCTCTTTCTCTTTTATATTCTTTGTATCTCTCTTTCAACAAATTTAGTTACCCCTTTCAAACATCTTTCTTTTCTTTTCTTCGTCTCTTTCTTTAGTTACTCTTTTTATATTCTTTTATCTTCTTTGTATCTCAACAAATTTAGTTACCCCTTCTTTCAAACATCTTTCTTTTCTTCGTCTCTCTTTCTCTTTTTTATATATTCTTTTCAACAAATTTTTTATATCTCTCTTTCAACAAATTTCTTTCAACAAATTTACCCTTCTTTCAAACATCTTTCTTTTCTTCGTCTCTCTTTCTCTTTTATATTCTTTGTATCTCTCTTTCAACAAATTTAGTTACCCCTTCTTTCAAACATCTTTCTTTTCTTCGTCTCTCTTTCTCTTTTATATTCTTTGTATCTCTCTTTCTACAAATTTAGTTACCCCTTCTTTCAAACATCTTTCTTTTCTTCGTCTCTCTTTCTCTTTTATATTCTTTGTATCTCTCTTTCAACAAATTTAGTTACCCCTTCTTTCAAACATATTTCTTTTCTTCTTTGTCTCTCTTTCTCTTTTATATTTCTTTTCTTCGTATCTCTTTCTCTTTATATTTCTCTCTTTCAAATTTAGTTACCCTTCTTTTCAAACATCTTTTTCTTTTCTTCGTCTCTCTTTCTCTTTTATATTCTTTGTATCTCTCTTTCTACAAATTTAGTTACCCTTCTTTCAAACATATTTCTTTTTCTTCGTCTCTCTTTCTCTTTTTATATTCTTTGTATCTCTCTTTCTACAAATTTTGTTACCCCTTCTTTCAAACATCTTTCTTTTCTTCGTCTCTCTTTCTCTTTTATATTCTTTGTATCTCTTTCTACAATTTAGTTACCCTTCTTTCAAACATATTTCTTTTCTTCGTCTCTCTTTCTCTTTTATATTCTTTGTATCTCTCTTTCTACAAATTTAGTTTTCCCGTCTTCTTTCAAACATTTTTCTTTTCTTCGTCTCTCTTTCTCTTTTATATTCTTTTTCAACAAATTTTGTATCTTTCTCTTTCTTTTCAAATTTAGTTACCCCTTCTTTTTCAAACATCTTTCTTTTCTTCGTCTCTTTCTCTTTTATATTCTTTGTATCTTTCTCTTTTCTTCGTCTCTCTTTCTCTTTTATATTCTTTTGTAAATTTAGTTTTTAGTTACCTTTTTCAAACATCTTTCTTTTCTTCGTCTCTCTTTCTCTTTTATATTCTTTGTATCTCTCTTTCAACAAATTTTGTTACCCCTTCTTTCAAACATCTTTCTTTTCTTCGTCTCTCTTTCTCTTTTATATTCTTTGTATCTCTCTTTCAACAAATTTAGTTACCCCTTCTTTCAAACATCTTTCTTTTTTTCTTCTTTCTCTTTTATCTCTCTTTTCTTTTATATTCTTTGTCTCTCTCTTTTATATTCTTTTATCTCAACAAATTTAGTTACCCCTTCTTTCAAACATCTTTCTTTTCTTCGTCTCTCTTTCTCTTTTATATTCTTTGTATCTCTCTTTCAACAAATTTTGTTACCCCTTCTTTCAAACATCTTTCTTTTCTTCGTCTCCCTTTCTCTTTTATATTCTTTGTATCTCTCTTTCAACAAATTTTGTTACCCCTTCTTTCAAACATCTTTCTTTTCTTCGTCTCCCTTTCTCTTTTATATTCTTTGTATCTCTCTTTCAACAAATTTTGTTACCCCTTCTTTCAAACATCTTTCTTTTCTTCGTCTCCCTTTCTCTTTTATATTCTTTGTATCTCTCTTTCAACAAATTTAGTTACCCCTTCTTTCAAACATCTTTCTTTTCTTCGTCTCTCTTTCTCTTTTATATTCTTTGTATCTCTCTTTCAACAAATTTAGTAACCCCTTCTTTCAAACATCTTTCTTTTCTTCGTCTCTCTTTCTCTTTTATATTCTTTGTATCTCTCTTTCAACAAATTTAGTAACCCCTTCTTTCAAACATCTTTCTTTTCTTCGTCTCCCTTTCTCTTTTTTATATTCTTTTCTCTCTTTCAACAACAAATTTTGTTACCCCTTTCTTTCAAACATCTTTCTTTTCTTCATCTCCTCTTTCTTTTATATTCTTTTCATCTCCTTTCTCTTTTATATCTCTCTTTTCAACAAATTTTGTTACCCCTTCTTTCAAACATCTTTCTTTTCTTCGTCTCTCTTTCTCTTTTATATTCTTTGTATCTCTCTTTCTAGAAATTTAAATACTCTTTAGTCAATCATCTTTTTTAATATTTTCCTGTCTTTCCTTTTATAGTCTTTATCTCTCGCCTTTGCTATTTGCTAATTTAACTTCGTTTGGCTCTTAGCAGACATTGAACCCCGAACCCACTTTTGTATTTGACGAAATCCTAAATTAGCTTGTTAAACATTGTGCCTCAAATCAGGATTTCAACGTTTCATTTTTAGTCCTTTGCGCGCCTAAGAAATCTGCTTTTGAAATCATGATTTTTTTTTCGGACCCAACACCAACCGATGTTACGAGTTAAAATTACGCAAAACTACCTCAAACACAATGCGGGTCTTTTCTTTTTCTCTCTATTAATCTATACTATAATATAAAATAAAAGAATTTCCAGCTAGAAAGACTGTATTGTGCTCATCTTCCAAGAGATAGAATATTTTATTAAGATCATCATTCGAAATCTTGTTTTTTTACTGTCGTTTGATATGAGAAATACGAAATTACTTCTAACTAATAAGGAAGGTTTAATCGGTATTTACTAAGCTTATCTCTTCGATTTCTATGGTCTCATGTCAAATGGGCACAGGATTAGCAGACTAATATTTTTTAGGGAACCACGGTGAAGTAATGGATAGAGGCTCGGACTGAAGAATTGGAGAGCAGGGTTCGAATTCTAGTCGGATCCATTACATTCACTTACGTGCTAATACCGTTGGGGATGGTATGAATCATTTCATTCTCTCTATTCTATGGGCCATCCGTCACATGATATGGGACCCATTATCCAAGTTTAGAAACTCCTCTGGGTTCATGAAGATGTTTTATGATCCGCTTGTGAATTGTATTGATCTGCTTTGCTAAATCTCGTGAAGGTGCTTTGAAATTTTCCTCAACAGCTACTTGCAGAAATACAATATTTGCCCAACTTGAATGTCCAGATCGTGGAGGAGAGCTTAGCAGGACAGACTGGGTTCTATAGCCTTGGGTGGCAACCGATGTAGGAGAAGGAAAACTCTGAATTCAAATCAACCTGGGGAGGGTTGGGCTCCGTCAGGTTATCTTGCCCAAGAAACACCACTTCTACTGCGGCTGCAGTACAGATGGTGCCCCCCCCCTACGGGTCACGGAATATGTTTTGAACCGCTTATCACTATTTCCAAATTTTAAGAGTGACCTTTAATATAAACTAGGCTAATTTGGTTGGTAAACACTGAACAAATATAGACGAATTCACTAATTTTATTTCAGTTTGACAACTCAGAATGTAAGATTGGGAAAATTGTATAAGGTCACTATTCAGCTTAGAAAATTAGCATTCAAAAGGATTTTTTTTTTTATCTAGGCTCGAACATAAACTGCCACGAACCAGACTCGACAAATTCTCATCCTTTCTATTCTATGGGCAAATAGCAGCACAGACTGGGTTCTGTAGCCTTGCCTGGCAACTGTTCTAGGAGAAGGAAAACTTTGAATTCCTATCATTTTTTATTTATCAAACTTTTTCTTTTCATACTTCGATTTTTTTTTTCGCTTTATTTCTTAAACATTTTTATTTTTTTATTCCCACATTTCAATTACAATATTTCTTTCTTTTTTTTTAGTTTCTTCTTCTGTCTTATCTCTGTTTCTTTCTTTCTTTCTCTATCTCTCTCTTTCTCTCAATTTTCATCCCACCCCCCATATTTATCTTTTCCCTTCTTTTTTTTTATCTCGTCTGATCATTGTCGTTCTTTATTTTCTACCTTTTGCCGCTTTCTCTCTCGCCATCTCTCCGTCTCATTTATTCTCTTTCTCTTCATTTCCCTTTCCTTTTTTATCTCTCAGAATCTTTCCCTCTTTCTCTTTCTTCTCTAAAAGACTCTTCACAAAGGACAGCCATTAAAAGCTATCAGGATGAACAGACGTTCTGCGCATGCGCAAGCAAGACAGCCCAGGTACAGCGAGTTGATTGAAAATGATTTCAGTCGCCAATAATCACGTACCTACTTCCGTCCGTTCCTTTGCACTTCCGTCTGTCTATCCGAGCAGCTACCGATCTCTGCTTCATGCTTCCCTCTCTCTCTCTCTCTCTCTCCCTATCTTCCTCTCCATTGTTTTCTTTTTCTTTTCTTTTTTTACATCTCTTCTCTTCGTGTTTAAATTATTAGGTGTGTAGACAGCGTACAAAGAACCGTTATGAATAAATGTGTCTCCTGGAGTAATGGATGCGTAAGGCCTTATGCATCCATGATTGTACGCATTACCACCATATTGAAATATCATGAAACATTCTATCTTGAAATATTTATTTTTTCTTGTTCCATTCCTTTCAAGAATTTGGAGGATTTTTGACCATAAAATAATTTACTTAATAATTTGTTTCTACAGTTTTTAGTTTCATATCTATAGTGATGTTCATCTTGTACAAGGCCCGGGAGCCTCTCGTGGTAGAGTGTTACAGAGTAAAAGGCAGAGTTTATACCGATATGTGGGGAAGATATCAGTTAATCGTAAACTGTCGAAACGGTTAAATGTAGCCGTCGCTTCTACTCCAATAGCTTCATGTTTCGCACTTCCCGTCTGCGCAACTCCCTTCCTCTTACTTGCTTCCCTGATAGCTATAAGCTCCAACTATTCAGATGCAATGTCAATCGACATCGCCTTGATCTATTCCCCGTCCATCCTTTCCTCTTTCACGCCTCTTTACTCTTACTTCCACATTTTGTAACCCCTTGTATTCTAGTGGCACTCCCGCCTTGCTTGGGGTGAAAAGTTTTAAAAAAAAAAACTTGAACAGGTTAAGATTGTAGTGATCGGGAAAGCACTCACTTGGGAGTCGGTTGCACAGAACAGCGATTCGTAGGAAAAACTTGCAGGAGTGGAACTTACATCTCACCAATGGAATATGAAGAGAATGGCGGTGCTTAGCTACAATGGGCGTGGCACGGCGAGTCTTAGCCGTTCAGGTTAGAACTGGTGGAACTAAGGAATGTAGTTCATGTAAAAATTGTCGATGGCAATAGCGATAGAGCTGCGTGAGGCTGGCACCGTTTTGTCTCTACAGTGGCAAAATTCTTACTTAATTCCATTTACTAACTGCAGAAATTATCCAAATTTAGTGGGAGCACCTCGTACGTTGGTGGATAATTTATAATTTTAAACATTATTCATTCTTCCGGCAACAACTAAATCATTATTCTTGCCTTTTGTTATTGACATAATGTCAGTTAAACGTGAAAGAAAATATTTTCTAAATAATAATTAGGTTTAGCTTCGTATAACACAAGAACAAAAAAACGAGTAAAATATTGTAATTCTGTCTGAATTTCTGGGATGGGGAGTAATCATTATTTACATTATCTATATTTGGATTATTGCCCTCGTCTTCCACCCCAGTCAATAAAGCCACTGATCCTGAAGGGGTTACTGAGAGTTAGAGAATACGAGAAAAAGAAAATATTATTTAGATGAGAAAACAATAAAAGAACAAGATGTTTTCAGAAAAAAAGCTCAAATAATTATCACTATCCATCATCTATGGCAATGCAAACTGGCCAAAAAGATGGTTAAAGCCTTATCTGGCCTCGTAGTTACCCACCGGAACTAGATTCAAGGACACCTATTCATGCTCGATAACCATTGGTCAATCAAATCACAAAAAAATATGGCAGTTAAATCGTCAAGGCTATAGACGAATGAAAGAAACCGTTAAACCATATCCTAAACAAGAAAAAACGGATAAATCTCTCCTCTTGTTCAATAAAGATGGAAGGGGTACTGTTCGGCCGTTAGGAGAACCTATTTAGAAAATCGCACCAATCTTTTAAAGTTGGACGAACAGATTCGCTGTAAAAATCAGCATTCGGAATCTTCAATATTGATGAAAACTCTACCTCCATCTTTTCCTTTTATATGAGGTCTGTCGACACCCGCTCTAATTCTAGCGTGGGATTCAATCCAGGTAATAACAGAGGGTCTGAATCGAATTTAATATCAATAAGGAACATTTGCTCTTATAAACATTGATCTGTGGTGATCCCAATAATTGCTTGCCTAACCTTAAGAGATATTATATGATCACGGTGTGGAACGTTTGTGGAATAATGTAAGACCTAGGGACAGTACATGCGCTTAAACAGGACGGAAAATTACGTTTTCTTCTTTCTCCTAGACTGATCGAAGGCGAAAGAGTCTAGCCTGCCCTGCTCGTTAACCTATAACTTGGAAAGTTGAACATGCCTTGTGCAATTTTTTTTAGCGCAAAGCGAACGAAACAGAATCTACTGGAATTTGAATGGCACCGTGATTCATGAAAACCAAACCAATGACCTCGCGTATTTACTCTGCGATGATGCTAAGGAAAGCAGTGGACATTATTACTATTCCACTTTAGAAACAAGCGTTACAAACAAACTGATCATAGAATTACTTTGAGTGCAGAATTATATCACTAATGGTTTTCATATAGATATTCACTAAATGATTTGTATTTCATAAAAATGAAGTGAAAATAAAAGGAAAACGGTGGCAAGGTATTGAGAATTAAAGCAAACGTTCCTGAATCGAAATATATATAATACTTCAAATATCCTAATCAACATCGTCTAACTAGACAGAAAGGAAAATTGAGAAACATTGTTTTTATGTACTTTTTATTGCCAATTTTCTAATTTGGCTGTGCAAAAGTTTAATATTTAGTTGCATATCCTCCGTTACAGCCTCTAGTCGTTTTCTGTAGTTTTCAAAGAGCTTCTTGCATGAAGATTTTGGCAGTTTCACCCATTCTTTTTCACAGATTTTCTTCAGTTAATTGATATTTTTTGAATCTCTTGCGTGTACTCCCAACTTCAACTTTTTCCATAAATTTCCGCTGACTGGCTAGACCATTCCAAAACATCAATTCCATTTTCACTGAACCAGTCTTGAGTTGTTTTAGCCAAGTGGATCTTTGAATCCTTGTCTTGTTGGAATATAAAATCTCGGTCAAATCCCAAACCTGTTGCACTTTTTAATAAATGAATTGATAAGATTTGCCTGTATTTTGCTGCATTCATTCTTCCTTCGATGATTTCCATTTCCCCTTCTCCATTATACGAAAAACAACTCCAAATCATTACGCCCCCCCACCATATTTAACTGTTGAGATGGTGTTTACTAGGTTTATATTCACTTCTTTTTCCCCCTCCATACTTCGGTGCACATGTTTCTCCCGAAAAGCTCAATTTTCGTTTCAGCTGATCAAATAACTTTCTTCCAGAATTCATCTGATTCAAGTTCATAATTTTTACTAAATTTCAAACGGTCTTGCACATGTTTACGTTTTAATAATGGACTCTTTCTTGGTGATCTAGAATACAGGCCTGTACGATTCAGTGATCTCATAATTGTATCTTTAATTACTTCCGGCATTTTTCAAATCGTTCTGAACTTCTCTTCGTGTCAAAAATGGTTGGTTCTTCACATTCCGAGCTATATATCGTTCATTAGCCTCGTTTAATTTACGCGGACGACCACTCCTTTGAATATTTTCAGTAGTATTTTTCCATCTTCGAACAAGCACACACAAAGCAAATTTAAATCTGTAGTAATTTTTCGACACCACTTACCATGTTTATTCAGCTTTATAATCTTCTGTCGCATATCATTTGACAATTCTTTTGTTTTAATCATTTTTATAAGTTTAAATAGCAGAACAGTCTGTACTGTATCAGACATGTTATCACTATATGCAGATTCGGACTCCTCGAGTTGATGTAATGGTTAACAAACTTGTCTCGCTAGAACAGTTACGACTGAGTAGTGAATTCGATCCACACTGGGTGTCCTATACGTTCAACCTTGAGCTACATTTGGAAACTCATTATCTCTATGTGGCGATTGAGCGACATGCTTGGTTAATACATATACTGAAGACAACCTGTGATTGGTTGAATTACAAACCATAACAAAATAACTAAAAATAGTTTCAAAATACCCTTTTTACCTATTATTTGTATAGGTGTTAAATACTTTTACGCACAGTCAAATTCGAGAATTGCCAATAAAAGTACGTAGAAACAATGTTCCCCAATTTTCCTTTCTATTTAGTTAGACAATGTTCATTAAAATATTTGAAGTATCATTCAAATAGAACAATTTTATTATGAAATTTATAAAAAAAACGATATTTTAAATACTTTTGCTACCCTGTTTATATATATATATATATATATATATATATATATATATATGTTTGTGTGTGTGTGTGTTTTAGGATAGGAGATATATATATATATATATATATATATATATATATATATATATATATATATTTAGGATATATATATATTAGGATATTATACCGAAAACATGTCAAAACTGGCTACGTGTTTCGATGCGTATCTACGGGTTATGTCCCACTTATAAAAAAAGTAATTTTTAATTTTTTCTTTTTTCGTTAAAAGAAGCTGTATTTTTGCTTTTACATCTAAATAAATTAAATATTTATGTCGCCATTAATTTACACTCGCCTGATGAGATGCATTGATACGCATCGAAACACGACTGCAACTGTGAAGCGATTTTTACATGTTTTCGCTGTAATGTCCTAAAATATATAAAATTGATCTACTTTGCATTGAACCCGCTTTTAAATTGAATGCTACGAACGTTGAAATTGTACTCTATTCGTTCTCAACTTTATATATATAAGAAAGAGGATGCATTTTTTTGATTAATCCGACAATCATTTATTGCGTAAACGTTACTTTTAGTGGATTCTCGTATTTGAGTAGACGATTCGCTCATTTATTAAACAGTAGATTTATTTATGTCTACCAGCCTGAATATTCGAAAAATCTTATTAATGGATATATGTGCTCTCCTGCAGGATTCGA